GGAAACATATTTTGTTGACCAAGATAGAAAAGTCAAACACAAAAACTATCCTGTTTTGATGCTGTGCATATTTGTATTGAAGTTCATGGACTATCAAGCTGGCAGGAGTTAGAAATTTTGAGCCAGGTTTGTGCTATTTTGGTTAAACCAAACATTGTCTTCATGTAAACCCCAAAACTCCAAGGAGCATTCCTGAGAGTGTGTAATCTTCAATCTCCTTCTAAATGCTCTAGTTAATTGGATCATTCTCATAGCATTGCTGAAGATATTATATTATGGTATATTTTCCCCATAAATACTCTTTTGGGTCTCATACCCAAGCAGAACTGACTGAAGGCATTTCGATGCTCTCTTTGCACAGAGATGCAAACTTAGCAAGACACTGTTAGTTGGTTGACAGCTATATAAACAGATGGGGAGGGGGAGTCAACATTCACAGCGATCTTGTTATTCTCCCTCCTGGGATTTCATTTTGTAAGGTGCCAAGAAATTCAAAATTCCTGACTGGAGTCACCAGACAGAGTTTTCTCAGAACTATGAGAAAAGAATCTCATCTCTGGAGGTCAGAAAGGGCATTGGTGGAGGAAATACCAAATGTTTCACTGAGAGACATTTGGCCCTCCAACCCAGGGAATGAAGCAGTCGGCTGGGTCACAGAATGCAGAAAACCTTTCTGGAACGTTTTGTGTCTGCAGTAAATATAGACCGCTTCCCTTTGTATTTGTCTGTTTATTTAAAGGGGAATACATTACACATTAAACACTTCATATATTTCTTGTGTCTATTCTTTTTTTCTTCTTGCTCATGCTCTGTTGAATACAGTTGGCATTTCCTTAGCCCCGTGAGCCTCAAGATGTTGAGTATGTGGGTGTGGGAAAACATCTTTGTGGAATGAGAAAGCAACTCAGATTATTTCAGATATAACAGATTAGGGGAAGCTTTGGCCTAGCGTCTGGATCATGGAAACTCTGGGGAGAGTCTTGTCCAAATTCCAACCCTTTCCACCTCACTCCAGGAGGATTTTATCATTCTTCAGAAGTTGCACAAGGATTTTTCTATACTTGTTTTTCTATACCCTTCTCCAAAGTTGTAAGGTGAATGGAGCAGAGTGGTGGTGGTGGTGGTGGTGGTGGTAGCATCCTTATCTTTGATTACGTGAGGCTTGCTTTTTCTCATGCCCCTTATTGTGTAATTGGACAGTGATGGGTTCTCACTGGGACTCTTTACAGAGTCCCAGTGAGAACCCATCACTGTCTGGGTTTGGAGTTTCTGTTTGCATAGAGAAAGTAGAAGGGCTCATTACAGGGAAAGATAAAAGTGCAACTAAGCACCACCCCTTGACATCATCCAGCCCTACAGATTGGGCCAGGAGGAAATTCCAAGCCCCACACCAAACCAGTTCCCTGCCTTTTCTTTAGGAAGTTCCAACTTGAGAAGAAGGATCAGTGTGTCTGGTCCAAGTGAGCCTTGGAAAGATTATTCCCATTTGAAACAATATCTTGAGCATAAGAGAAAGAAGCAAGTTTTGTTACTCTTCTCCTTCAGTGTTTTTATCTATCCTAAAAACAAACATGCAGCGTTAGGGCCAACTTCCTCCCAAATAAAAATGGTGAGCAGAAATATTTTTAAAGGTTAGCAGATTGAAACAAGTTCCTTGGGCAGCGGATGTTGAGAAGCACAATTGTCTTCCTAGCAGGTTTTCATGAAGTTTCCAGCTATCTCCTTCTGCTGGAATAAAAAAAGAACTGGTCCCCCTAAATTAGCCAACTGCCTTAGGCATGGCACAGGAAGCTAGATGCTTCCTCGTTGGTTGCATTAAACTAAGATTCACTGAATAACTGATGGATTTGAGCTGCACAGGAGGTTTCTTCTTCTTCTTCTTTAAAATGTATTTAGTGTATTTTAACTTTGTTTTTACCACACTGTTACTATTTAATTGTTTTTGTAACTTTTGTATTGCACTTTTTAAACTTGTATAATGTGGGGTGTTAGCTGCGTTGAGTCCCCACGGGGAGGAAGGTGGGGTATAAATAAAGCTGCTGCTGCTGCTGCTGCTGCTGCTGCTGCTAATAATAATAATAATAATAATAATAATAATTCCCCTCAACTGGTTGAATGTCTTGAACCAATTCTAGGTCTTAATGACCCTGAGGAACAACTGATACATAACCACCTTGGTTCTGTTTTTGTCTGTGATATTGAATCATTGATAATACCTTTCCCCACAGGGATGTTAACCTGTCCATATGCTATTCAAAGCTAAATAATATATTTTTGGCTGGATTTAGACTTTAAAATGTACCTGTTTTGACTTGCATACAAAATCAACTTAAGAACAAACCTACAGAACTTATTTCATTCATAACTTGGGGACTACCTATATTTAATATTTTATTACAGATTGTAAAATAATTTGGCAGTGTACCAATAAGCATAGAGGGTATGCCAAAGTAAAGACAAAAATATGAATTGTTGCGCCACATTAGATTAAAGAGAAATCTAATGCTGGAAATAGAAGTGACTAGGCAATGGAGTGTACACATAGTTATAGAGGTACGTTAAAGCAGAATCAGCTCAGGTCAGCCTTTCCCCTCCCAACAAATAATAATATAATTTTATTTCTTACTCAACTCTCCTGATGGCTCGAGGCAAGTCAGAGCACAGTCAAAAACACACAAATACTATAAAAATTCTACAAACACGCATATTAAAATGTTCCATAACAGATATGTATCAAAGCATTTCTATGAAATACACATTAATCACACAGCTCTCTGCAAGTGCTTTCCCAGTTATTTGATGTAGGGGACCAACATTTTTTCCAGCATACCAGGGATCAGTCCTATATTTGTGTCCTTGGACTAAAGTGTTTTTTTTTCCCTTTGGAAATTCACTAGAGACTGGGAGCCAGTGGCTCATGGAATGACATCAGTCTGAAGACCATTATTTTTAATAGCACTGAATTGCATGCATGCACCTATCATGTCATGTAGTTCATATCTATGGTATTAATGGATATCCAGACTGTGCAACTGTTTTGTACCGTGGTGCAGCTATCAGTGTCACTTTCACAGTGACGTTCACAGCTTCTGGAATAGTATTGGCATTGTCTCATTCCATACTACATTATCCCTGATATGCAGAGTGTCTCATCAATCTTTCTGGTATGATTTTCGAGCTGCTGAAGCTTTCACGTAGTGGAACTCCTATCTCATTTCCACAAGGGTTTTATTATAGTAGAAGTTGTTAAAACACTTTTGTGGGGGGTGGAGTGGGGGAATCAAAAGCACTTTCAAACTTTTTCTCAAAATAAATGGTGAAGTTATTTCACTTACATTTGGAGGGGGTAAAAATAAAAACCCAAGTGAGGATGAGCTGCTGTACCTGAAATATATAGCTGCGGATGAGTATGTTTTTCACTATCAGGAGAATCATCTGCTGGGTGGATCTTGTTGAAGTGTATTTGTGTATCTTAACATTCCCTTCAGCTGGGGACAGGTTTTGGCTGAATCCTTTGTATCAGCTTTCTCGATGTTTGGGGAGCCCAGCATTATCTACACTGACGGGAAGCTTCTTCGACATGTTTTTAAGATAGGAATCATTTGCCTTACCAGGAGATGCAGAGCATTGCATGCAGGACCATTGGTGTCCAAAGCATGCACTCTGCCACCATGACTTTCCCATTCCCTGGAGATTCTGAAGTGGCATCATTTAATGAGAGGTTGAAAACAATATCTTAATGAGTAATATTATTTCTCCACACAACACATTACATTTTGGAATTCCAATTGGCAATGTTATTCCTTTTTCTCTGCTGAACTGTTGATGAGAATTGCATCTTTTGTAGCATAATGACTAGTGATTACACATATTTAAGAAATGTTATCCTGCAACTTCATGGGAAGTAAAATCCCCCCACCCCACCCCCGCAAGAAGCAACTGACTGACACTTCCTTCTCTTCTCATGTTTCATAGCCTCTTTAATGAAAAATGTTCCAAGAAAGTGGTAGCAGTGCAATTCCAGGAAAACTCCGTAGTCAGGAAACTTTAGGGGATATAGCTCTAGAGCACTTCCAGAAAATAGATCATTGAGACTCCCAGGAGTTTTCAGCTTTTCAAAAAGCAGCAAGTGTCCAGCACAACATGTTTTTCAATTTGAAGAAAGGAGAAGGAAGCAGTGTTTTCTGCCAAGGGTCTACCCTGTTGAGTTCCAATGTGATCTTTTGTCAGCAGGCTGGTGTTCCTAATTTTTAGAAGTAATACACTAATCGTGTGACTGAACAAGTTACACCTGCCATCCTAATAATCTTAATGATAATGAATTGCCTGGCAGACTCAGCAACAAGTAATGCCACAAGCCTCCCCCCCCCCACACACACACACACACACACTGCCATTAATGTTTCAGACTGTGAGTTTAATGGGAATCATGCCCTGGGATTTGGCTTATAGTAATTCTTAGAGTCAAAAGATCAGTTTATGTTTGATAGGAGATGCTTTCATAGAATCATAGAGTAATAGAGTTGAAAGAGACCACATTGGCCATCTAGTCCAACCCCCAGTCATGCAGGAAAAGCACAATCAAAGTACCCCTGGCAGATGGAGTCCTTTGGGTGAGTTTCACATGTTTGCATTGCAAACATTCTGTGCCACATTTCACACAGCGTGTGTGGGGAGGATAGTATGTGGTTATTTCTTCTGCCACTTTTGCCCACTCATTTGCAAGGCAGCCAGAGGGGATCACCATAGAAAGTCTGCTGGAAAAGAGTGTATGTGGATGAAGTCTGAAGAAGGAAGCAGCTTATTTTCTCTTATGATTTTTCTGGAAATGATTATGTCTGCAATTGAAGTGGCAGACAAGTCTTATCGGAAGTTCTCTGTGTAATTTTGAGTCCTTCCAGAATGAGAACTAATTGTCATTGCAATGCAGATGCTCTGTATCTATAAAGCAGGAGAGCTTGATGGTCCCACTTAATCTTATCCTCTCTTTTTTCCATTAGGATCACTGTGCTCACTAACGATTGACAAGGCGTTTCCTGAAGATGAAGGCCAGTACAAATGCATAGCTGAGAATGCTTCAGGAAAATCAGAGTGTGCATGCAGTGTATTGGTGGAAGGTAAGCATTCTGACAGGAGCCAAAAAACCCTGAAACAAAATCCCTGTCTCATTGTCCTTCAACTGATGCAATTATGACCCTGTTTGTGCCAAATCTTCCAATCTGATTCTGATTTGTGTAAGTATGAAGGGGAGGGGAGTTGTATGTTTCCTGCATTCCTTACACGAAAATGTTGTAATTTGATCCCTAAAATAAACAGGGAACTGGCTATATGAAACTCAGTCATGTGTCCATGTCAACAAATACCCTCCATACTCACACTGCCAACACTTTGCTTCTGAATGGACTCAAAAGCCTCCTTAGGTTTACCACAGTACCACAATCAGAGTTTCTCTATTGTTTTAAAGTGGCATGTAAAGAGCTGCCTTGGGGATAATCAAGCCATTATGAATGAATAAATAAATAAAACTTCATTTTTGTTAGATCTGGTACTCATTAAACTGAAGCTGGGAGATTTTACCACAGAAGATGATACTTGTGGGATCCGAGTACTTCACCTGCAGACTGTAACTTGTGCTAAACTCCCTTGACTCCACATAGATGGGAAAGAGGGCAACTTGTGCTAGGAGGCTTGATTCCAAACACTTTTGAAAATCACTTGAGCTGACCCAGAACAACCCAGCATTTCCAAAAACTATGCAGACCAGTCCTGGTGACAGGATTAAAGCTACAGTAATATCTTGCTTATTGCCATTACCATGGACCATCATATTAAGCTAAAATGTTGGACTAGATGGGTCTTTGGTCTGATTCTACTCATCTGTTTTTATGTTCCTAAGCTCATTCATTGTTTCAATTTCTCAATGCTGTTATACTTATATGCCACCCATTATTCAGGAGTTGACCATAGGATTGCACTGGAGGACCTAGAGATTCTTCAAAAAGTGTTCTCAAATTAAAGAAAACAGATTTTTTAAATTACAGTTCTTCCTTTTTTTCGCAAGGGCCTTGCATCCTATTCCCAGTAAAAGTTCAGGGCTTACTAGGCTGTTTTGGTGTCTTAATCATTAGTGATGGTCCCATAATATTGTAGCGAAGCATAGCAGTGAATTATAGTGATCCTGATAGGTAGCCAATTTGACAGTCAGTTTTAGTAAGGGAAGAGGTTATCTTCTAAATATTTCTCCATGGCTGCTTTCCTTCCATTATTATTTATATTAATCCAGCAGTATCATGTCCAAGTCCTGAGCTGGCAATTTACAGAGATAATGATAAGGAAATGAAAACATTTACAGATATTCACAAAGATAAGGATAAAGACATTAAATACAATTATTATAAAATAACTTCTTACTTACAGAGTAGCTGATTTCTTTCAGTCCCCAAGAATCTACAGAATTGCAAGAGTGTATATATATGACTCATCACTGCTTCTGAGATGGAAAATACAATACTTTTTTGACCTTGCCAGAATCAGTGACAGGAACTAACTAATTAGAATCAATTAAAGGTTTGTTTTACATTTATTTTATACTTTCAGTTCTTAACCTTTTTTAGCAAGAAGTAAGAACAAATATATTATAACAGACAAACAAGCAGAGGGATCAGACAGGGATAGAGAAATAACAGATAGAGAAATAACAGCCATTTGCACTGGCTAAAAAGGCAACAGAAAGTAATTTAGTTCATGAGTAATTCACGTGTTCTGTCTGCAGAATTTGTTGGGTGCTTGTCAGGTTGGAGAGAGAAAGATCAAGATTCGGAGTGCCTTCTAGAAGTCCATTTGGACACTGGGTGGTTGGGGATGCTATGAACTAATTTTGGCATAATCAATAAATGTGACCAGTATTCTTAAAATATATTATCTTTTTTGCATCCATTGTAATCCTTTATATTATGAGTTATTCAGAAGGTTTTTTAATGTTATTTATGATATCTGATCAATAATTACACTGATACCTTGAGATAAGAGTTGAATTCATTCCATGACCAAGCTCTTAACTCAAATTACTCTTATCTCAAAGTGAAATTTCCCATTGAAATGCTATTAACCTAGATTAATAAAATCAACTTTAAATTGGTAGAAGTGCAAAGTTGTGGCAAGGAAGCACAAAGTGAAGAGGCAGAAGCATAATTTTCTTCATTCTGGACTTATTCCCTCCCTCTCTTGCTCTCTGTCCCTCTCTCTCTTCATGAAGCCAAACATACCAGGACTAAAAACCTCACAAAATCAACTAACCCAAAGTTCCTCAAAGTGGACAAAGCGGACAGCAATCTCCCAAAGCAGACAGAGGCACGAGGTACAGAGACTGCTCCCTTGAAGCCCTAAAGCCCTGTACTCAAGCGATAATGCATCCTCTGGCACTAGTTCCTAACTCAAAACGCTGCTCATATGTCAAAACCAAAGCCTGGGCCAAGCAACAACTCTTAACTCAAATGCTCTTAAGTTGGGACCCTCTTAAGTCAAGGTTACACTGTACAGTCCAAGAATGCTGTCTACCTACATATGACTGTACGGGCTATATCCTTGCAACTCCTTCAACATCTCCCTAGAACCTTTTTATTTTTTTACCATTCTAGATAAACAAATAGGAGTAAAAGATAATTGGGTTTACTTTTAGAACACATTCTTTTGTAGCAGCTGAATGGGGTGTAGAGGAGGGAGAGTCAACATCAGATTTCAGTCAATCTTTAGCTCTGATCACCATACTGTTTTAATGATTTGATCCTCTCATTTGAGATTTGTTATCATTCCTGAGTTTTTTAAACAAAAGACTACAACATTTCCCCTTTAAAGTGGGAAGCCAAAGACAAAACATAATGTAGTTGAAACTAGCTAGGCTTGAGTTGCCCTAGTTGTGTTGTTAGGTAGTCATAGATTTCCCCTTTATTAAAAAAATCTCTAATATTATAGGCCCATGCTCTTCCTATTCTATTCTGCAAATTTGGAATTGTGTGTGTAGTAGAATAAAGAGTCTAAAACTCACCTACACTACCATATAATGCAGATCAGTGCAGTTAAACCGCATTAGGAAACTGCATTATATGGCAGTGTAGATGGGGCCTTTGAAAGGATAATTTGGGAGCTCGTATATGATCTCATTGTGTCCAAATAGCTCATAACTGCATACAATTGGGTTTTGTTGTTCCTTGAACTACTTTTGTATATGCTGAGAGTAGAGAAAATTAGCTTCTTTTGAGGAGATGTTCTTTATTTCTAACTAAACCCTAATTTCAATAAGTGAAATTCAAGTTGAATGTAATGGGCATTTTCACCTAAAATTAGTAATTAAAAATCCATTCCAGTGTAACTGTAATTTACTTAGTTTGGAATGATTTTTCAAAAATGCAGTTGTTTATTTTTTATAAATATAGATGATTAATTTATACTTTGAATGAATCGGACCAAAGATCCAAATCCAAGTGCCTTCTAGTGGATCCTGGATCTAGCATTCCCACCATCTCCAACTAGCATGACCAAATGTTGAAGGTGATAATTGTAGTCCAACAACATTTGGGGATAAATGATTGAAAGTTTCTAATATAGTCCATTATCCTGCTTCCCATACTGTCCAAACAGAGGGCATTTGAATCTGGACATCTCATTTGGCTTTCATGACTAATGGCCATTAGTTGACAATTCCTTGGCTTTGTTGTTAATTTGTTTTTAAAGTCACATCTCACGGCGATGATTTCTGAACATGACGTTTTCAGGCTACTAGCAGTCATTAGATGACCCTGTTCTCTAACATTATGAGTGAAGTGGGGGGAGCCATGGTTTTGTAAATCTGTAATCATGATCTTCCTCTATTTTTTCCCCAAAACTAATGAGATGCCAAAGTCTTTCTTTCCTACTCTTTCTGTAGCTCTGGGAACTGGATTTCATACTTCCAAAGTTTCCATCCAAGAGTTTCCTTCTGGCACTGTACGATTGGTGAGAAAGTGTTCAGGCACCACTCAAAGAAGAAGTGATTGGTGTTGCTTTATTCATCATCCCTCCAGTTGTCTTATCACAAATACTGGCCTTCCCATCTATTTTGTTATGGGACAGTGAGCAGCTACGTGCTGAATTCCAAAGGCATTGATGGCATGTCAGTTCTTAGCATCCAGTTAAAAGTCAAGGGAATTAAAATACTCACAGGCTGCCTCCACTGTAAATTCCCTTCCAGAACTTGTTGCCCTATTACATAGCTCTTCAGTCATTTGCAGATAATTCCCGAAGAGGTGAAATCTTGGCAAAGAGCATTAGTCAAGACCCTGTCTCTTGCAAGAAGCCTTTCAGGATCCCTAAAGCCCATATAAGGCAGGCATCAACTGCTTCAACTGCTTAACCAGTCTTCTTCAAATGAGTCCTGGATTTCAATCTTCTAAGCATCTTAAGATATTCAACAGCCCCAATATCTGCTTTCCGCACTGATGTAGTAACAGAGTGTTGACTCACCTTTCCCCTTAGTTTCCTTTAATCTGTAAGACTTGCAGCCATTTCAGCTTCAAGAAAGCAATGAAGAGGTAATTTATTTCAGACTGAAGCAAAAATGCACATATTCTATAAGATGTCTATCAAACCAATGTCCTTCAGTCATCTCAATTCAGTTCCTTGTCCTAAAGTTGTCCCAATCCAAAGTTCCCCTACTATTTTATCTAAGTAGCTTCAGAGGTTAACATGAATTCACGTTTGGGACAAGCATGATTTGTGTTTTAGGTTCCTTTTGAAATAATTACTCGTTGTTTTTTGTTTTATTTTGTTAATTGCTCAGAAACTGTCTATATATTGGAAAGTCAGGAAAAAGATGCCCTGTGGTTTTACTCAACATCTGTTGATACTATGACCAACATGATGAATGCAATCTTCATTGCATGGTTAAAGGTTTCAGGGACAGAATAGGAAGGGAACAGAAATGAAGGTGGCCCTATCTCAGATATACAAGAAAATCCTTGAAAGAATTATTTTTACAAAATGATGCACAGAAGCAGACCATTAAACTGCCCTGAGTCGCCTAAGGGCTGAGAAGGGTGGTATACAAATATAGTAAATAAATAAATAAATCTTGTAATTCTGAGATCACTGCCCATTAACATATAGTCCAATATAACAAATGCCCTTAAAACAAACAGAAATTGGTTGCTTCAGTTGAATTTAAGCAGCTTACTTCTGAAATTCAGTGATTAACCAGTAGCCCTGTATTAAAACAAACCTTTTTACCTTGTTTCAATGGCTTCTAGTAATTTGTTGCAAAGTGTGGCACTGAGTTTGGCTGTTGAATTGCAGCAACGTGGCTGGACAGAAAGGGAGAGGAAGGAGACATGTGACTCAGAATAGTTGTCCATCTCTGATTTACGACTTTTTAATGTGTGAGGTTATTAAGAAGAGAATACACAGCTTTTTGGCAAGGGATATGTGCATTCTTAAAATATGTTGTCCTCAAGTTTGTGTGTGTGTGCCACATATCTCTCTCTGTGTGTGCTTTCCCATGTTTGCTTCTGGCTAAATTAGTTTTTAAAATGGCATTCAAATGTTGAAAGCTTGTTTACCAACTGGGGCTATACAACATGTGCTGCAATCCTTCTTTCAGGCCACCTTTTTTGTTTTTTTTTTAAAGCTGTTCCTAATTTTAGTAACTAGCCATTTTATTATATCGCTGAAAAGTCATCCAATCTTTTATCTTTAGCTTGGTGCTATTATTTTTTTCCCTGACCCTTGTCTTCTCCACTAATCCTTGTGTTTTAAATCCTACTCTTGGGGTTTAATCAGTGTAACCCAAGTGGAACAATATTGACTGGACATTCTGAAGTGTTAAGTTTGTGCGTGCACTCTTAAAAGGATTCTGAACATAATATCTCTTTCCTGAGCATCAGGGATAGCTGTATTTATTATTTCCTTCAAAGTTTATGCACACTAAAACTTGTTTAAACATCCCAAAGCCAGCAGTTTTAATGTGCATTCCAGCTCAAACAGAATCAAGCTAAAGGTGAATTAGGCCCTATCTACACTGCCAGATAAGATTCAGATTATCTGCTTTGAACTGGATGACATGGCAGTGTATCCTAATACAATCCAGTTCAAAGCAGATAATCTGGATTTTATATGTCAGTGTAGATGGGGCCTTAGAGGTGTTTTTCTACATTTCCCCCACAAATATCTGGTCTGATTCTTAACTGTCCCGTTTCCTTTCTTCCTGTTGTAGAGTCTTCAAAGTCAACTGAAAAGAAGACCAAAAAGCCAAAGAGTTCTCTGTCTCCTGTGCTTTCAACAGAGAGTAAGTAGATTTGCTTTTATTATCTTTTTGCCAAATTTATGTGAGAATTTGGCTAGGTACATGACTCCCAGAAAGCCTAAATGCTCTAAAGGGGTCAGATTCTGGCTAATGTGGTTGAACTTGGATGGAAGATCACAAATACTAAGCTGTATTTTGAGAGAAGGAACTGGCAAAATCACATCTGAGTATTTCTTGCCTAAGAAAACCCTATAAAATTCATGGGGCTGCCATAAGTAGGCAGGGAACTTGAAGGTATGTACAAACACCTGTTTGACTGCCAAATCTTTGATATTATTCTGACAATATGCCTAGGCAGCATGGTCAATACTTTGGATCTTGGCTGGGTTGGGCATGCTTTGTATGGATTGGGTTGCTGTGATTGGGTTGCTTGTATGGATTGTTGGTGTTACCAGCTGCTACATATTTAGGAAGGTTTCTGCTCGTGTGATTTTTCTCAACATCCAGTTTGCACAGCACACAAGCAGTGAATTTCACAAGCAGCATTGTTTCTGTATAATGCAAATATGTTGTTAGGGAGAAACACAAAAAAACATGTTATTAGAATCTCTATAGAGTCTTTGGTCCACAAATACTTAAGCCAAGGCAAATGTGTTCTTGTTTCAAGTGCTAGTGGGAATCGTCCTTCTTTCTCATGCAAGAAAGGTAAAACCTATATGGTAAAACTCACAGGGTACAAGAGTAAGTTATACTCAGTAGGGTGTATCCCAAGCCTGGACCATCCAGGCCAGTTTTTCAGGAGGTGCAATGGGTTGTAATCAGAAAGTGGAATAGACTGAAATGGCTTCCTCCCATGAGAACATTCTGGAAATAGGAATTCTGGATTCAGCCCACCTTCTTGGATATTTTTGTTTTATTGAATATGTTTTGGCCAAGCTGTCTTTTTTGTTTTTCCTAGATGTACAATCAGATGTACATTTTAGTAGGAGAACAGCACAAATGTGTTGACTTGTTCTACTCCTTGTTGGTTGGGAAAGCACATTCCATTGGGAGCAATGCCCTCCTGACCATTGCTCACAAATCTTGTAGCCAGCTGCGGAATAGCAAGTATCACAGAGATAATATTTTGTTATGACTTTCTTTCTTTTCAGTTTGTCATTATACCATAAACCAAGTTCAAAAGCTACTTTTTCTGTTCATGAGAATGAGGGCTTACATAAAAGAACAGTAGGCAAAAACATGTGTGACGTGCTGTGTATGTATTTGTTTTGGTTTCATGTTGAGACGTGCAGTGTGAATGAGAATCACTCATTGCCTCTCACATTATGATTTACAATGTTTTAAACACAAACTTTTTAAAGAGCTGCAAATTGGTCCAACCTATCCTCTTTTGGGATAGCCGCATGGAAATGTTGACTTAAAAATACATGAGCCTTCGGTCCTCCTAAGTCTATCTTCGGACTGCTACAGTAGGGTCACGTGTATTTTTTTAACACCAACTTTTCTAATATGCTGTCTTTCTTCAAGATTTTGGTATCGTAAACACTTTATTTTCTATTGAAAGATATTACTGTTTTAGAATTTTTGCCATTTCTGAACTGGTATGTATCAGTCACAGATGATTAATTTAAGCTGATATAGGGAGACTAAATCAAACTCATAAAACAGTTCCAGACACCAAGGATGGAGAAATAGCAACTTTTTAAAAATCTATTCCACTTAAGAACAGGAGATTATTTTTATTAAATTCAAAATTAAAGGCAAAGTAGGCATATAAACATTTGTTGATTCCAACTAAAGAATCACTAGGAACTAAGTAAGTCAAGAGAAATATAAATTCCATTGACTTGTTGCATCTACTGTAGTCTAATATTATACTGAGTTTCAATAACAAACAGAAAAAGTGTAGTTTTTCAATGCACATGTCTATGTTCTTGATGCTATGGGTGCTTTTGAAGTATTCAGTTTCTTCCAGTATATTAAAAATAGCTAATATTTCACTGTAGGATCATTCATCCTTATTGAAAAGAACATGGTGCCATTCTTCTATCTCTGAGAATTTAGGGTTTTGGAAATGAATGAACTTAGGCAAATAAATATATTAATAATAACCAATTAAACAAAATCCACATCCATTATATCTACTTTCTGTTAAACAAATGCACTACACATGCTGCATGAACAATATTTTTGTCATTTAATAGGGCTAGATATATGAGTGTATTATGTGCTATATAATGAGATACAAAACTGCATATTGCCTATGTTCTTGAATTATAGTTATAGATTAAATGCTTATAAAATGGCCCATTTATAAAACTGAGAATAATAAGCACTTGAACTTTCTTGACATCATTCCACACTGCTGCAAAGGCTCCACATTTTCCTGTTCTGTTTCCTCTGTCTTGCCCCAACCAGTTCTCCAAAGTTGACACTTTACAAACCACCCAAAGAAATGTGAATGGTTTTGAAAATAAACAACTCAACAGAACTCACCAATTTTTAGCATAGAAATTATACATGTCAAGAGAGATTCTTGAAGAAATGTCTTCATATGTTTAATAACTATGTGAAGAAGTGTCAGCTGTATCTACTGGCCATGGCCCTTGGTAGCCATGTATTAGTAAAAAGGCTTCCATGGAAGCATAGAGCTCATAAACACATCCAAAAATTATGAAAGGCCAGTTTCAGGAAAGATTGCTGTACATAAGAAGTAAAGAAGATGACAATTTACACAGAGGCAGGGGAAACAATGTGTGGTGTATTTGTTTTGACTCCACAGTTAAGAATGTGCTGTGTAAATGAGAAATATGCATAGTGCTTTTAATATATTTCTGCCCTCATTGGGGATAGTCATAGGAAAGTGTCACCTTAAAAATTCTGGAGGCTTCATGCCATCTAAGTCTGTCTTATGAGTACTACAGTAGGATTAGATGGATCAACGCCTCCTGTATTCCCGAAGACCAGCTTCTCTAATATGCTACAGTTGACTTAAGATTTTGTTAGTCCAAACAAGGCTGATATAGAACTCCCATAACTTCCTTTTTATTCAATGTTTTGTGAAAATTTGATAGGCATGAAGAAATTTGTTTTTTGCACACACAAAAAAAATTCTGCAAACAAAACAATGTTATGCATAACATTAGTTACAAAAAACCATTTTTGTGCAGATGATTTTTTACAGAAACAAAATTTTCACAAAGCAATCTCATACAGAGAAAAAATGAATGAAAAAGAATGAATTGTGCTGCAGGGGGAAAGCTTTTGATTTCTTTATTTTTTGGTAGCAGAACCAAGTTGGAGGACTGCATATACAGTTTTTAGTGATGCTAAATCACAGCCAATGCCGTTGTGCTTGTATTGCTAAGGGTCCTTCCACACAGCCCTATATTCTAGAATATCAAGGCAGAAATTCCCACAATATCGGCTTTGAACTGGGTTATCTTAGTCCACACACAGAAGATGGATTTTCTCATCCATGGATGTTAATAATATTGACTATATCAGGTGCACCCATTACTTAGGTCCTTGGGCAACTTCTTCCTTTCATAACCACCTGCTGTTGCTTTAATTTTATAGTCTTTATTTGGACTGAAGTTAATTTGGATTGTAGCTTTTTGAAAATACTAGGAAGAATCCTGTTCATTAAAGTAAAATTATTAGGTTTCAAAGTTTTATGGATGTTCACATTTGAACTGGAAGAAATGTTATTTAGAATTTACTCTTTAACTCTTATATGAAGTGCAGAATTTTATGCTCAGATGAATTCAATAATGTTTATGCAATCTTGCTACTAAAAACCCTGAAGTTATGTCTTTGTGGAGTTTGTATAAACATAAAACCTCATTTTGCAGCTTGCTTACTCCATTTATTTTTTTCATGCAGTTCAAATTGTGGTTTGAAAGGTTCTTAACTGCTGAAGCTTTATTTTGCACATTGTGAATAGTAGCAAATGGTTTCGTTTAGTTTTTACTTTTTTCTGTTATAATTTTTTGCTTTGTAAAATTGAAATAGCATTTGTATTTTAATCCAAAGGGTTGGTGTGGTGTAGTAGTTTGAGCATAGGAGTATGAATGTGGAGACCAGGGTTCAAATCCCACTTCAGCCGTAGAAACAGACTAGGTGACTTTGCGCAGGTTCTACTCTCTCAGCAACTTCCCCCTGAACAACTCTTCCCAGCAAAATTGAGAATTTGAGTAGATCAGAAGCAACTTCAAGGCACATCACAATAAAACATTAATTGAAGTTTTAGAAATTAGAAGGAACTGTACAAAATCATTGCACAGAACTGTTAAGAGTTTTTGGCCTTGCATATGCAACTTAAATACAAGAGAGTTACAGCATTCCCAGAATCATCTAGTGTTGTCTGAAGAAGTCCTTACCAATGTGTGGGCAAGATCCCTTTTTATATTCTTCCCATAACCTGTTTCTCCTCCCATCCCCAACCCATATAGAGCTACTGTTAAACTGTTACCCACCACACGAAATGCAGGGAGGGCTTCTTGAAAGTCAGGACCATTTCGGGTATCATGAAAGTAAATAGTTAAACGTATCTGCAAAACATGATGTTTGTAATAACTTTTTTTAAAAAATTATAGGAATTTGGTATTTTGAATCCAGAAATGACCTTCGATATCTTCCCTTGTGTATCATTTTTTCACAACTTGCTTTGACATTTCTGTGTTGTGAAATGTGACTGAATGAAATTAGGATTGAAATTAGTAATGAGATTTGTGAAAGGACAGTGATGGAAATTGGCCAGAGAATTGCCCTGGAGCACTGAGAAATTATTAGGGAGAACATATTAATCAAATGTGCGTCTAATCAAATCCATAAAAATTAAACCTACAGTTGTGGAGAGCTGATTGTAATTTAAAGCACAGCATGATTGAGTCTATAGCATCTGATCACACAAAGAGGTCCTTTTGCATTGAGGTGAATGCGAGCAGAAGTGCCATTCAGATCTCACTGCTTGCCATGCCTAGGTCAAGGGTGATTGAAGGAATGGGACTGGCACCTCGTATGAAGAACTGTACCTCATA